TTCTATCTGAAGAGTTCAAAACAAAAACCCCGCAGCCTCGAGTGTGCAATGGATTGTACCACTGGCGCTTTCCCACTTGCAGTATTATTCTGGGGAACAGCATGATACTTCACCACCCTGAACCCATCTCCCCGGAAGAAAATGCCACCAAATTCTGCAGCGCTCTTTCGAAAGCTTGATCCTTCTTTGGGTGAGCACAGAGTGCCAAAGCCTGGAGCTTCAGTCTGGGCTCCCGATCACTGTACCTTGGGGTCATCACCCTTGGACAGGCTGCTCTGATCGAATGAAGTGATGGAAAAGTTACGTTTCTGCAGCAGAAAACAAATAAATGTGCATTCTTTTAATATTGATTATTAAGACTGCCTGCAAGTGGATCTATGTCCATGCTCTCCAACCTGTTTCAAAATAGATTGAAAAATGAACTGATCACACTTCAAAAATAAAAGGTGGGGGGGAGCAGAGGCTCTGACTCTCTTTTACCATGGAACTTTTCCCACTTCTGGATTCTTAACTGAAGATGGAGTAGAAATGGAATGAAACGAGCCCTTGTGAACTGGACAGCTCCCCAGCAAAGGTTAAAATGTTATCATATTGGGATTATTTATGCACATATATCAAATACAGGCACAGTTACATAATGACAGGTAATTTGGGTGCCAAAAGCATGCCCAGTACATGGCACTCGACCTTGGTCCCGGTTGCTGAGATCTTCCGCTTACTCACTGTTTTTCAAACTTACAATATGCTTCTCTCCTTCTTTCTCTCTCTTTCACACACACACACACACACACACACACTTGTACACAATTTTGCAGAAAAGAAAAAACATTGTTCTGTTGGCAGCCCTAATCAGACAGGCTATGCTTGCACCACTCTAGTATTTTGAGCATTACAGCGATTTAATCTCCTCAGTCATAAACTTCTTGACATGCTAATTTAGCAGACAGAACAGACTGTTTTATAAAATCATTTTGATCAGAAATTCCTTGAAACTACCGCAGCATCTGGTCAATTTAAGGCAGCCAAAAGTTCTTTGGCAAGAAAGGCGGGGAGAAGGAGGGAGCCGAAAGCGAGCGTGTGCTCAAAACAAAACCTCATGTGTTGATGTGTTGAAGTGAAACTTCCTCCGTTTTCTTTCCCCTGCTGACTAATGCTGAACACAGCGTTTACAAAAAAAAAAGTAAGAAATTAAAAGTTAGTTCAATTGTGTGTGTATTCATTTTAGAAATATCTATAGTCTCTGTAATATGCCTGTCTATTATGTACTCCATCGTTTAAACGTTGATACAGAGAACAACAGTTTTGGAAGCAGGGAGCTGCTAGATGGCTTTCTAAAAAACATAATGGCACTGAAGAGCAATACCATTACTGATAACCCTGCTGAATAATAGTGGGATTTTATATGAGAACATGGAAATATAGGCAAGGAAAGGTGTATTTTTACTACCACCACCACCAAAAAAAAAAAAGGCATTCAGTTTTAGTTTGGAACAAACGTTTGGAGTTAAACTCATAGTGAATTTTGTCCTTGATTTCCATAACAAACAAATAATAAACCCAGTAATATAGTTGTAATTTGAGATGGTGGCACAAGTTGCTTTTAAAAACCGGTTGGATTGAAAAGATGAGAAATTGTTATATATTTGAGTCACAATCCTGCCTATATCAGTCCTAGTCTAAGCTCTGTTAAACATAGTGAAAGTTCCTCCCAACTAAACAAGGCAGGACCAGCTTGTACGAATACTTTTTAATTTTATACATATATTTCTGCAAAAGCACTAATGAACCCATTTGGATGGCAGAGGAATCCCTTGGGCCCAAATCAAAATCTGCTCCTTCCGTCTGCTCTTGCTGAAGCAGTGCTAAAGTTGAGAGCAACTCCGACTGGGAATTCGGTGCCAATTAGGTTCGAGCAACTACAGATGCCTCTGAATAAAGAATTTGGGATCCACTGAAAATTCTTTTAGACACCTTAAGCTACTTTGACAATTCTATTACATCTTACTTATTTTTAATTATAATAACCAGTTGGTGTTACTGTTATTCTAAACAATATTTAGACATCACACAGAATCACTTGTCTTCAGGACTGAAAAAGAATGGCTTTCATTTGTAACTTTTAATCCAAAAAGTTTTGATTCAGGTTAGCCAAATCTTCTGTCCTGCTTAACTCCCCTAACCCCCAAACCAATTAATTAATGTCACAAAGCTACCAATTTATAGATTTCAAAAATATGCCATCAGTTTCCTCAGGGAAAGTGATTCCAGACAAATGCAAAGGGGAAGATGCTGTAACCTTAGGACATAAAAAGCAAAAATAAAGGCTAGGTGACAAAATAGCCACAGGAAGAGATTTCTGGTTGCCAAGGATCCCATCAACCTTGTAGATGGGTCCAGCTAAGCAAAGAAATAAGTGCAGTGAACACTGAACATCAGAAAACCCAAAAAGGGTTTCTCTTATCCAATGAAATAAAATGATTTCAGTTCCTATATTATGTATCTCAACTGATTTTGAAAATAAAACAGTTATTTTCTCCTCCATTTTAAATGTTATGGGCATGTCTCCTCAAATTACGATGTCAGTAATTTTGGCTTTTGTTCACTCACTTGAAGGTTCAAGAGTGGTTGAATCTGGTGGGGGAAGCCTGAACAAACATGGGTGAACACCTATGGAAGGACCTACTTTGTTGATTTTGAAATTGTTTGATAATCTATCATTCCATCCATATAAAATGTCAGGATAATTGATGTGTGTGAATGTGTGCATGAACAAAGTCAAATGTGTCAGTTTCTGGTAGCCACAGCAGCTATTGAACATCCACCTGGTTTCCATCAGAGCTGAAGGAGATGATTTAAGTTAATTTTAACCTAAAATTAAAATTAAAATGCAAGCTGTTTCCACAAGCCTGTATGAGCAGTTGGTGGTAGAAAGGGGAGCTGATTAAATAGTCTAGATTCGCATCTCTGGGTGATGAGGATTCTAATTGTCTCTAACTCTTTACATCGGACACACTTCCAGAAGATCCTTGATCATTATATCACCAAGGACCTTAATTTGCCTTGGGGTTTATTCTGTCTCTTTTCCCTCCAGCACGGTTTACCACATATTGAAAGGAACTGCACATTGATAGTAGTGAAGGAACTAGGAAAGCTAACACCAAGGCCATGGCTCCTTCCCCCAGCTGCCCCCATTGCTAGATTTCACCCCTTTCCCCTGAGCATCTCCTGCTCCTTTCAAGAGCTCTAGAAGTCCTGCCTCCCCACACCAACAGTTCAGGCTGGGAGTCCAACTCAGAGCTCACTCACTTCCCTCTCCATGGAAAGCGCTGTCTATTAATAGAACTGCACACCGCTAATGAGCAAAAGCATCTCTGGGGGCTTGGACAGCAAGCACTGAGGACTGACGTCATTTGCAAAATGGAAGGTTGAAGGTGAGAGAGGATTCCTGAATCTGCAGCCAGCCCCAAGAGCCTTCAATTTTGCTGGCTCCAAATGGGACCATAAAGGATTTTCCTAACTTTCCATCTTTTGCACCTGCTGTCAGGATAGAGAATCAGATGCAGACCAAGAACTGAGTAGCTTCTGAAGATCACCCACTCTACCATCTCACTCTTGCTAAAATTTTACTTCCACACTTAACACATAGTCACATGCAGCTATCAGGAAACAGAGTCATTGACAAACTCTGTGCCACTGAGCAGGCCTGTAAAGTCCTCCTAATCAGACCAGAAGAGATTGATAGGTTTATGTAAATTAGGAGATCCCTACCAAATTTGCTTTCCTCTTTTTTCTTTGCTTTTTCCTGTATAATCTTGATGAGGATGAGGATGATAAGTAGCATCAGTAGTAGTAGTCTTCTGGTCTGTTACATTTTTGTACAGAAAAGCCATTCATTGTGTTACTTTTTGTGGTCAGCACAAAGTTGTGAAATTTCCTTCAACAAGCGTCCTTAACATTTCTTGTATCTATTTCCTCCCTTCTAAAGAGTCAAAATAATCAGAATTTTCTTCTTCTTCTTTTTCCTTTAGCTAAAAGTGGGGCTTTTATAAATGAGGTTAAGGCAGAAAGTGCTAAGTGCCTGAGAATGTTCAAACCGTACCAACTCCTATATCATATTAGAAGTTTGTCCCGAAAACTTTCCGAAAACATATCCTCTGGAAAGACTCCATCAATTAAATAAAAATATTCCTCTCCTCTGCAGGGACTAGTCCAGGCAGTTGCCAGGAGTCAACACTGACTTGAAGGCACACAGGGACACACACTCTGCTCTTGCCCAGTATTGAGGGCCATTTAACGATACGTGGTTCTGGCCCAAATTAAGTCCAAGGACGGTGATTATGATCTTTTAGACTTAGGGTTCTCCTTGCCTAGGGTAGGTCGGGAAGGGAAGGGAAGGGAAGGGAAGGGAAGGGAAGGATACAAGACAAGAGCTATAACGGAAAGGAAAAGGCCTCTCTATGTTTTTAATGGGACCGAACGCACGTGGCGCCCAAAGGTTCAAAACACCCGGAGCGAGCGCTACAGACGCAACAGTTTCCGCGGAGAGTTAGAGACCGCAGAGGAGAGAGAGCCAGGCAGTTTCACCAGCCCACCCGGGCTCTGCTTTCCGCGCGTGGTCGGCTGGACTCAGGTCTGCTACTGCCGGTTCCCCGCTCAGATTTTTGCTGGGAGAAGCTCCTTGGCTCCGTCTCTTTCGCTCCCTCCTCGCTTCTCTGGGCTCCACCAATGGGGGAGCAGGGCCTAGCAGCGCCAGGCTTTGGGCCAGCATGATTGATGCCCTTGGAGCGAGGCGAGAGAGGGAGCCCACGGGCGCGCATGTTCCCCCTCCCCACCCCCTCCCCCTCTCCTTCTCCCCCCGCTTTTCCTTCCTCCGCTTCCGGCCGTCTTTTTACCT